CAAGTCCATGCCTGAAAAAGTCTCGCTGCTTGCACAACACGCAGTATATCAAGCTCACTTGTATAGCATCAAAAGACAAAACGCAGCCTTTGCTGAATAATTTGCAGGCTTTATATTTATGAGACAAATGCCTAATTTGCACTTCAGTATTGGTGCTATCAGTACTCCAGTCCATGCCTGAAAAAGTCTCGCTGCTTGCACAACACGCAGTATATCAAGCTCACTTGTATAGCATCAAAAGACAAAACGCAGCCTTTGCTGAATAATTTGCAGGCTTTATATTTATGAGACAAATGCCTAATTTGCACTTCAGTATTGGTGCTATCAGTACAGGCCTCCCAAGATTATATCTCAATCTGAACAATACTTTGATGTGCCTGTGTGCCATCTCTCTATTATGCAGCCATAGCCCACTCCATGACGTCAGCATCCCTCCTTCCACAGCACTTTCTTCATCTACCTGCCAAGTTTTGCCCGGGTGCTTGAAAAGTCACCGACGTCTCAGTGTTACATGGGCGCAGTGGCATCGATGAACAGATGCACAATAGCAGAGCACCAGCAAAAAGCTTTAACACTAACGTGCAGACACCCATATATTTGTTTAATGTTAGAAAAAAAAGTCAGCTTGTAGATTGAACAGCAGCTGACAGGAGGAAAATCATTGCCAATAAGTCGTCAGATTGAAAATCCTTCCTTTCCGGGTGTTATTTTTAAAGATCCAGCGTTATTAATACGTTGAGAAAGGGCTCCCTTGGCAGTATGTGTTCTAACAGATCTGTCTCACATTCTATAAAACATTAATGCGCCCAAAGCTGTTACAGAGATCTGCACCAGGAGCCAGAAAGCATAGGGGAAGATTTTTACCTTCAAAGGAGCTATATTATGGAAGCGATTTTTTTATTTTTAAATTAAAAATTGTGTGTGTGTGCTGGATGGGAACAAGGGAATGCACATATCTCCCTTTCTCCATCCTGCCAGCCGCAGCACAATGAGACCTATGGCATACATAGTTCTACCACCCAGTGAGAAAAACCTCGGGTAAGATATCTATATTAATAGTTTGGGAATACCCTTTACACTGAGAGAGGAGAGCAGGAAATAATACGATTGCTCAAATAGATAGCAAAGAAATAGGGTCATATTAGGAAGCACATTGTTAGCTTGTGAAAAGCCTTTTCTCAACCATTCTCATCGTTCACACAACTGTATCCATTACACTCGCCCTTTTTTTTTCCTTCTTACATGTACTACAAAAGCGCTCATATGTCGCATTAAAAACCCTCAAACACGCACAAAAAAGTCAAAACAGCAACAAAATCCCAATAAGCACACAATTAGCAATCAGCGCAATCCAAGAGAAAGAGCAAATCTCTTTCTGTGATCAGTATTTGTGGCCCTATGGGTCTTGCAATCATAGATAACCATCCAAAGTGTTTTTCTGTAACCTAACTTGAACTTTGCAAGCGGCAATATAATGACTTAAACCCCTATTTTTTTTTTTTGTGATGACCAGCCAGCAACAAACCACCATCTTTTGCTAAAGTCTTTTATTTTGTTTAAATTCTCACTTCAATTTTAATTCTTGAAGAACATAAGCTTGGACAACATATATCGCACTCATTATAAGAAGCAAAGGGTTATATCAAAAAATTATTAGTAGAGAATTACAGGAATCCTGGTTTGGAACCAGAAAAAAATACAAAACAGATATAGATACATAGACACAGGACGAGTTTTTTGTGGGTTTTTTTTTATAATTATTTGGAACTGTTATTTTTTCCCCCTAATTCTTATGTCTTGCTTTCTTTATGCGCATACAATGTTTTCAATTAAAAAAAAAAAAAAAAGAAATGAAAGTAAAGACTAGTATATTACAAAATCAACAACAAATGTTCATGGTGCTTATGTGCATGTGTAGCTACACACAGGATTTATCACAAGTCTGCTTTTTGTCGCCTGTACAGAATAAATCCATCTCAGTCCACAGCGCATCCATTAGGGTTCTTGTCTGCATATTTTAATCATAGATCCCCTTGGTCCTTTTTTTTGTGTGTGTTTGTTTTCATTTCCCCAAACACACGGAGTTCATTATTGTTGACATCCTAAGGAGTTTTGTATGTATTCTGTCTGCGTCCACACCATGGTTGTTCGTACAGAGTCGTACAGAGTTCTGTCGCAGTGATTGTCTTTCTGGCTGTTCTCTAGGAACACTGGATTGACATATAAGGCCAGTTGAAGCTACTTCCAGATAATAACATATCTCTGATGAGGGTCTCTATAGGGGTTTTACCTACCAAGCGGACGAAGAAGAGCTGTTCAATGACTGAGGAAGATACAGTACGCAGGGAAGGCAGCCTCAGAAGAAGTTTGCCGAACCTGCTCGGTTGGTTGGGGTACTGGCTCCTGACATACTCCTCCAGGGCGCATTGGGACTTTTCCTGTAGACTCTCAATGTGAGCAGCATCTGAAAGGCCACAGGCGTCTGTATAGGAGCCCACCATGGAGGAGGAGAGACAGACAGACAGGGTACACAGTTAGTATGGCACAAGGAATTTGCAGTCACATCACTAAAATCACATGAAATCAACTTTAAGGGCTTAAGTACTAAAACAAAAAGTAATGTTCACACTGGCCAGTCCAATCTGTGTTTAGTTTAAACACTGATAACAATAATAATAAACATTCAATTAAAATAATAATAAAAACAACACTAATAATAATAATAATACCTGGACTTGGCTGTATGTAAAATTGCTCTTTTAGTAAATCAGATATAAATGTTGGCAGGAAACAGCTGGATCTTGGCTTAAGTGTTTTTTTTTTAAATATATATACAATATACAATAAATGATACACCAGTGTATGCCAGTTCTCCAAGTTCACAGTCAAAGCATTGACTATAATAAATAAAGAATCGGAATAATGCAGTGTGATGTACTCCCCAGACACAGAAGCACTCAGTCATTCAGACACTCATAAACCAGCGACCAGTCCTATTCATTAGTCCTACCCCCTCCCCAATAGTGCTAGTCCTATACAGCCAGTTATGTAGCCTAAAGATAGCACTTTAGGTTTTGTTTTGCTCTGTTATATTGTTGTAGGGGACACTTAGTTTGGGTAGATGTAGGCACAGGCTCAAGGCGCCAACTGCACCCCTTCATCCAATTTGCCAGCATGTATTTCATGCTGAATTTGAAAATGCTGAAATGTTTATGGCTATATACTACACCACGTGATCCCCTTAAATCAATCAACCCTCGCTGCAGGTTTCACAGCTACATGGAGGCATAAAATCCACGCTGCTGGAATAAGACTGTTTTGTGGAATCAAGTGCTTGGATGAGGAACCCTACATCTGACACCTTCTAGTAAAACCATATAATAAAAAAGGGGTATAATAAAGTAAATGATGCCACTTAACTGTGGCCCCATACTCTATACTGTTTACCCAGACAGTTCTACACATGCTGAACACAGGACCATGTCCTCTCACTTCCACACACAATCTATAGATGACCTCTGGAAATGAGGATTATAACATCACCTATAAAACTTCACCTATTATTACCAAGGCTTGCCAGAAGCACAAGGCTTGCTGCAAGAGGGCAGGGTGTTTTGTCTCCCTCAGAAAGTCGATATTTAAAATAAATTTAAATAAATCGAGTCAGGAAACTGTGACAAATTGGTTTCAAGGAGTGTGAACTGGAAAAAAAGTTAGGTCTGATATAAGCTTCATATAATTCTTTCTTTAAAAAAAGCGAATAACACTCGACACATTCCAATAACAGGCAAAGTAAATAAATACAACTCATCATAAAAACTTCACAGTCGATAAAGGTTAGCCTGGTGTTATCTTTACAAAAAAAAAAGAAAAGGAGAACAAGGAATATACAAAAAATGATGAAAAGATGATCTCGGTTGGATATTGCTAAAGCATGGGATGAAAAGATTTGATGTAATTAAATTTATTTTGGCAGATCACTCTCTAAATAATTATTTTTTAGCCCAAGGCTAGAAATGCAAATAAAACAAATGACGATTGTGAAGCTCTAATCAGTCTTCAGATGTATGTAATGATCCAGACGTGTTTTGTAGTGTTGATGTAATGTATGCATGTATATTTTATTGGTTACTAGGAAGGAGAGATTGTTAAGGTCTGAGTGTTGTGCAAAGCGCACATCCCTGAACACTGCTCTATGAGAGATGCGGCCAGTCCTTACACTGAACAGCTAGATCCCTCTCTGCATGGCTCAGGGGCTGCTTATATAGCCAACAGCCTTACATATTACCTATAACATAACATATGCAATGTAATCTGTATAGTAATTTAGATCTCAGTGCTTATTAAGGATATAGGGCATGCTAACCTGATCTGGGTCCCTACATTAGCATTATAATACACCATATTTGCCTATGCGTGGTTGGAAATTAAATCATGACGATGCAGGTCTCTGTATATGTTTTGCATGTAGTTCCCAGAAACTTTACACTCAGCTGAAACAGTTATGTCAATAAGCTGAATAAACTGAACTGTGCTATCAGGTAGACAGCATGGGGGGGGGGGGGGGGGGATCACAGCCCACACCCCA